AAAAAATTCTGTACTTCTCTACATTCCCACAAAATATGAATGATTGTTTCTTGTTCTAAATTACAAAGTGTACAGAGTGGACTTGTCACTAATCCTACTTTAAACATGGATGAATTTGTTGTCAAAATATGATGAACAATTCTATACTGAAACCATTGTAGTCTTGAATTTTTTGTTATTCTAAAAGGGGTCTTATATATATCATTCCAATTAAAATTATTCAAATCCAATTTTTCTTCCCATTTTCTCCTCCCAGAAGCAATAGTATCTTTTTTTACCATAAGATTATAAAAATCTTTTATCCCTTTTACTCTTTTTAAGAAAAATTTAATATTACAGGGTATGATAGGGTATACAATAGCATCCTTTTTACAATCAATTTTAACTAAATATTTCCTTATTGTAGTTAATACACCATGATATTGGATAAAATTTGTATTTACCTGATAAATTTGAGCAAATTCTTGAAATGTGTAAAAAGTGCAAGTCTCAATGTCTTTTATTAAGTAAATGTAAACTTTTATAACAAAGAATCATTTTTCTAAAAACGTAGAAGCCTGCTATTGGCATCCATTCTAATTTTGAAAAGATGGGCCTGGAGGGAGTAAGAATATCTCTAACATTTAACAACATCCTGGCTGCTCTTTTCTGTAATTTTAAATTTTAATTTAATTTTAATTATGATCCGGACAACCGCGAAATATTAGCCCCGCGAAATAAAATAAAATATACAGTATATTTTAAGTAATGCAGATCACATGCTTTTTCCAACTGATTGGTTCATTTATTTTGGAAGCATTTTGAAAATAGAAAGTTGTATTAATGGTTGTAAATGCATTGATATATCATAGTGTTATCATTTAATTGTATCAGAAGGATTCTGTTAATTTAGTATTCTATAACGATTAATTAATATATATGTAAAAGAAACAAAAAGAATTTAGTAGCTCCCTTTTTACTTCTTTGGTTGATTTATCTTATACAATTTAATTCTTGTCTGGAATTTTAAATGTTCTCAGTCTCTTTTATACGTGTGTACAGTTTGCCCTCATTTTGTAACTGGTAATTCTGTTCGGTTATCATACTTTTCATGGTTCATATGTTCGTCGAAAAGTACAAAATATCATTATTTCCCTATTTTCTGCATGGAATTAGTTATAAATCCAGTCAGATTAGAAGAGATACAGGAATTCGTATGTCGTAATTTCACGGAAGTTTTTCGTACATACATGCCACAGTTACCTCCCTTTGACTAGGACAAACTACAACCATAACAAGGTAGCTCCGGCGGCGGTTAATAGACAAATAACAGCTATATTTGGACCTAAACTAAGGTGTTCAGAGTAATTTTACATGTTTTAAGGGTTTAGATCGACTTTTGATAAAAAGGACATCAACTAGAAATGTTGTTTTTGATGCGAGAAAGTTAGATGGGGTCGACTTTTCGACATCGAGAGCTGTCCGCCCTTCTCGTTAATAATCATTTGGGGTGTCAATTTTTAGAGCGACAGTATGATCGGCGGTCAAGGGTTGGAATCCTCAGTGACTTTTTAAATGTATCGAGAGCTTTCCGCCCCTCTCGTTAATATTATAATTTGGGGTGTCAATTTTACCGAAAGTCGATGTAAACCCCTAAAACATGTAAAATGACTCTGAACACCTAATTAGTTTAGGTCCAAATATACATGTTACAAATCATCAAGTCCCTGTGGTTATAAGAGCGACAGTATGCTGGGCGGTCAAGGGTTGGAATCCTCAGTGAGTTTTTACATGTACCAGTACTAGTCGAGTCGATAAGTACATACGTTGCCTAAATGTAGTACAGGGGCAATTTTGGAACAGTTGGATCCGGCTCTTCGTCTGAACATAACTAATCTTAATTATAGCTTTTCACCTGTAGATAAAAAAGACTCCTGCCAGGCCATACTTATAAAGCTTTTGACAAGAAAAGGGGCGTTACAGTGCCCCTACCTCATCCTCCCCGTGTCCAATGACTACTGAATAATGCGGTCTAAAGGAACTTTGAGTTGCATGTACATGTACCTCCCAGGACTAGTATTTCATAGGAATAGCAAAGGATAATGTATAAAACTAATATTTTGTCGTAAGTTGATGGCCACATTTATGTCTTTTGAGTATTGGCACGGTACATAACATATAGTGTACTAATGGCACGGTACATAACATATAGTGTACTAACTATACTCAATATTTATTTAAAACCTTTTTAACTGCAACAAAGGGTACATTGTATTTTATGATTTTACTGAATGAAAAAACATGTTTCTCGTGCAAGGGGAGGTAACTCGTAAGAGTGTGTACATTTCACCACACCCTTCATAATTCGATATCTTTATTATGTGCATGTATTATGCCACCGAAGTCCTCTATATACTCCTTATACGTACCAAGGCAAACATAACACAACACTTAAATAGCAAATAGCTGTCCGACCTATAGGACAGAGTCGGCATTTATTCGTAAATATAATATGAATATAATAAATATGCATTTACAAAAACTACTCCGACTTCAGTTACCATACACACAAACAATCCTACCACATATACCCTCGCATGGTTCATCGCCATACAAATGTAAAACCAAGCGCGCCAACCAACCTGAAAACCTTATCAGGCGCGGCAGGAGATGTACCAGTCCGACAATGCTTAAGTGGTTTTTTTTACAAAATTGATGCTGGGATTTCTAACAAATGACGATGCCCACACATACATCTGTTACATAAACTTAAAACTGACCTGAAAACCTTATTAGGCGCGACAGGAGGTGTACCAACCCGACAATGCTTAAGTTTTTTTTTACAAAATTGATGCTGGGATTTCTAACAAATGACGATGCCCACACATACATCTGTTACATAAACATAAAGTTCTGCTATCATTTTATTTCAAACTGTACTGCGCCGTGCGAGGTGCGAAGCTAGAATGAACATACACGTACCCGTAAACTACCCTTAGCATGTGCCTCTATCTGATTGGCCAAAACTTCTGCACGAGACAGGCAACTGCCCACATACAGGACAAATATTTCCCGCTATTCTCCGAAACGCTAAAAAATAATGTTATACACTGTTGCAGTCCATTTCACAGTATCTCAGGCGGAGCCATTAACTGCCATATTAGTAAATCCAAAAGTACAAGAAATTGCTAGTTTCTTGACATATGAGTCACATACAGTTAAACATACAGAAGAAACCACCTCTACTGAAACAACACTTTGAAAATTACGAACTGCAGTTTTAAATGTTAATTGCATTAAAAGATTAAGAGAGTATTAAGACCAATCGTAAACAATAGATATCCTGAATACCTTAGTATGAATGTAAGGTACATACCTTTAACATTATATAGTCCTTAAGCAAAACTAACGAGTAATGGATATTCTTCAACATGTTGACAAATATAAATGCATACTTTTTGACGTCTGGTTACGTTGTTCAAGCTGACGCTTTACTTTAAATAATATGATAGCTTTGATGTAATCGCCCAAATGACTAAGACCGTTGAGTGATGATACTCACTAAGACAGTGTGATAATTATAGGACCTCTTCAATGAAATGGTGGGGTGGCACAGTGGTTAGCACACTCGCCTATCACCAAGACCAAGAGTTCGATTTTCTGATTACATGCATGTTCTAAGATAAAATATACACTTCAGTGGCGGATCCAGAGACCTATCTGGGGGGTTCCAAGTGGGGAAAATTGAGGAAAATGGTGAAAATACATGTTTTTTTTTAAAAATGCTCAGGGTGTGGGGCATACGTGTACAAGTATGAATAGATTACCTTAAAGTTTACAAGCGATTTATGAAATACGATTGTAATTTATATGCTCTCAAACTGGCCTGGGGTGACCATTTTGGTCTCAACAACGTGGATGTTTTAGATGAATTTCATACATGTATATCGATAAATAATAATTAACCACGTATATCTCTATCAGACACTCGCCTTTCACGAAGGCGGCCGGAGTTCGATTCCGGACTTGAAACGGTATCGGGTGACCTGCCCGACCACTTTGGTTTTCTCCGGGTACTCTGTGATTTCTCCCCCAGAGACAGACACGCTACATGCTTCCATCTGGAACAAAATTAACGATTAATAGAAGCTTGATAAATTTGTTTCATAATTTTTGTAAAATGAATAAACTTTTCCTTTTTTAACATGGTAACCCAGTATCTTTGAAAAACCAAGCTAAAACTGGAGTAATGGTCGAAATGGCGCCAAATTGAAGCTAACGTTCATTATGACGTCACGTACAGTAGGTAAAATACGTCACAAACAACTTTGAAAAGTTCTTGATCGTAAACCACAAATATCTTGTATGGATTTTGACGCTTAATATGGCAGAGACGAATATGTTCTTTAGGCCTACTGAGAAAGAAGAACAAGATACAGAGTTGTAAGTATAACAGTATTTCACAACTTTTCATTCGCTGTTTACACCTTTTGTCGTCACTTTAATATGTCTAGTTGTGATTTTGATATTCTGTTGTTCGTGGGTTTTTATATCCTTCTTTCAAAAAACACTGTATAACGTTAAACTTAAGAGGTTAATTAAAACATGTATTACAGTAAACTATTGCTTGTACATACAAGGTTTTTTTTGAGTAGAAATTGCGATAAAAAAATGTCCTGATATGGAATATACTGTACTCGGTCACTTGTCAAAGCTGTCTCGGGTATTTGACGTGAGATCTATATTTCTCGTACATTGCATCAGCGATTTATCATCCTCAACCCAACTCTACCCATGGACGATCAAAACACAAGTACATATTCGTTTATATTTAAAATGATACACAGTCAAGCGACAAGTCCATGTCCTTCTTTCCTTGTTTACCTGTATGCGATGTTAAATAACATTTCATTTATCTTGTACATATGATTTACACCTTTTGCTGTCCAATACATTTTGTGTGAATTTGGTGGTCACTGCTTGATTCTATACGTTCATCTCATGCACTTAGTGTAAATAATACGTTCATTTGTGCACGTTTTTGTTATTACACTTTGGTGTCATAAACGTCGATGTGATGCAGGTTGACGTTAGACCCACATGCTGATGTACATGTATCACACGTCACAGCAACACACTTTGATATAATACAGGATGATGTGATACGGGTTGGTGTTATACAGGATGATGTGATACGGGTTGATGTTATACGGGTTGATGTGATACGGGTTGGTGTAATAGAGGCTGATGTAATAGAGGTTGATGTAATACGGGTTGGTGTAATAGGGGTTGATGTAATACGGATTGGTGTAATACGGGTTGGGGTAATAGAGGTTGATGTAATACGATTTGATAATATACGGGTTGGCGTAATAGAGGTTGATGTGATACGGGTTGATGTAATAGAGGTTGATGTGATACGGGTTGATGTTATACGGGGTGGTGTAATAGAGGTTGATGTAATACGATTTGATAATATACGGGTTGGTGTAATAGAGGTTTATGTGATACGGGTTGATGTTATACTGGTTGGTGTAATAGAGGTTGATGTGATACGGTTTGGTGTAATACGGGTTGATGTAATACGGGTTGGTGTAATAGAGGGTGATGTGATACGGGTTGGTGTTATACAGGATGATGTGATTCGGGTTGATGTTATACGGGTTGATGTGATACGGGTTGGTGTAATACGGGTTGATGTAATACGGGTTGGGGTAATAGAGGTTGATGTGATACGGGTTGGGGTAATAGAGGTTGATGTAATACGATTTGATAATATACGGGTTGGTGTAATAGAGGTTTATGTGATACGGGTTGATGTTATACTGGTTGGTGTAATAGAGGTTGATGTGATACGGTTTGGTGTAATACGGGTTGATGTAATACGGGTTGGTGTAATAGAGGGTGATGTGATACGGGTTGGTGTAATAGATGTTGATGTAATACGGGTTGATGTGATACGGGTTGGTGTTATACGGGCTGATGTGATACGGGTTGGTGTTATACAGGATGATGTGATTCGGGTTGATGTTATACGGGTTGATGTGATACGGGTTGGTGTTATACGGGCTGATGTGATACGGGTTGGTGTTATACAGGATGATGTGATTCGGGTTGATGTTATACGGGTTGATGTGATACGGGTTGATGTTATACGGGGTGGTGTAATAGAGGTTGATGTAATACGATTTGATAATATACGGGGTGGTGTAATAGAGGTTGATGTAATACGATTTGATAATATACGGGTTGGCGTAATAGAGGTTGATGTGATACGGGTTGGTGTAATAGATGTTGATGTAATACGGGTTGATAATATACGGGTTGGTGTAATAGAGGTTGATGTAATACGATTTGATAATATACGGGTTGGTGTAATAGAGGTTGATGTGATACGGGTTGGTGTAATACGGGTTGATGTAATACGGGTTGGTGTAATAGAGGTTGATGTAATACGGGTTGATAATATACGGGTTGGTGTAATAGAGGTTGATGTAATACGGATTGATAATATACGGGTTGGTGTAATAAAGGTTGATGTAATACGGGTTGGTGTAATACGGGTTGATGTAATACGGGTTGGTGTAATACGGGTTGATGTAATACGTGTTGGTGTAATAGAGGTTGATGTAATACGGGTTGATAATATACGGGTTGGTTTAATAGAGGTTGATGTGATACGGGTTGGTGAAATAAAGGTTGATGTAATACGGATTGGTGTAATACGGTTTGGTATAATACGGGTTGGTGTAATAGAGGTTGATGTGATACGGGTTGGTGTAATGGAGGTTGATGTGATACGGGGTGATTTGATACGGGTTGGTGTAATAGATGATGATTTGATACGGGTTGGTGTAATAGCGGTTGATGTGATACGGGTTGGTGAAATAAAGGTTGATGTAATAAGGATTGGTGTAATACGGTTTGGTATAATACGGGGTGGTGTAATAGAGGTTGATGTGATACGCGTTGATTTGATACGGGTTGGTGTAATAGAGGATGATTTGATATTATACAGGATGATGTGATACGGGTTGGTGTTATAGATGTTGATGTAATAGAGGTTGATGGGATACGGGTTGGTGTTATAGATGTTGATGTAATAGAGGTTGATGTGATACGGGTTGGTGTAATAGAGGTTGATGTGATACGGGTTGGTGTTATAGATGTTGATGCAATAGAGGTTGATGTGATACGGGTTGGTGTAATAGAGGTTGATGTGATACGGGTTGATTTGATACGGGTTGGTGTAATAGAGGATGATTTGATACGGGTTGGTGTAATAGAGGTTGATGTAATACGGGTTGTGTAATAAACGTTGATGTGATATACACTTATGCTATACAAATTGATGTCATATACGTGTTTACTTGCAGTGTGGGTATAAGTCTCCGGACATGGACAGTGATCGGTCCCCTCGTCCTATTGCTGGCCACTCTCAAAAGTTCGCTGTTTGATGAAGAGGCCTGGAGTGTATATGAGTACCGCGTGATCGTATGTAACAACACCCTCCCCACCATACCCTCGAGACTCGTCACATCTTACACCCATTCCCAACAATCCCCGCCCCCGATCTACCCCCGAGACACTCCACATCCCACACCACCGCCCAAACTCTTCCCAAGCACTCTGCACACCCCAATACCCTGCCCTCACTCTACCCCGGCACTCTCAACAACCCACAACCCCGCCCCGCTTTACCCCGAGAATCAACCCACTCCTCATCCCCGCTGGTACTCTACACCCGAGACCTTCAACAGCTCCTCCCCCGCTCTACTCCCGAGGCTCTATACACCCCACATCACTTCCCCTTCCACCGCCCCCGCTCTATCCTCTAACCTCTCCATATCCCACACACCCTCCCCCGCTCTACCTCGACACTATCCACACCCCACACCCCCGCCTCATATCTACCTCAGGCACTTTCCACTCCCCACATCCCAACTCTTCCCCCGAGACTCTGCACACCCCACACACCCACCCTAACTCTACTCTCGGAACTCGCCACACCCACACACCCGCCCTAGCTTTATCCCTAAACCTCTGCAGAACCCCGCCCCGCTCTACCCCCGAGACCCTCCATATTCCACACACCCTCTCTCGCTCTTCCCCGAGACTCTCCATACCCAACACCACTCCCCCGCCTCCGCCCCCGCTATATCCCCAAACCTCTCCACATCCCACACCCCGCACCCACTCTACCTCAGGCACTCTCCACCCCCACACCCCCTCCCCAGCTGTACCCCCGACACTCT